GCTGGTTGATATTTCTGCGAGTGAACTGACATTGGGGTGGAAGAGGAGAGCAAGGGAGGCGGTTTGCAGGGAAAGGGGCAAAAAGAGAGAGATAAGAGAGGGAAGGGAGGCGTAATGCGAGGAGGCGTGTCAAGAGATGAAAAAGAAAGAGAATCTCTGGTTTAAAAAAAAAAAAAAAGAGATTCAACAGCTATCGAGAATCAATAAAAGAGGAAGAGGAAGAGAAGAGGAAGAGAAGAGAAAGAGAAGAGATGGGAAGAAGAGGCAGAAGAAGAAAAAAGGGGAAGAGAAAAAAAGAAGAAAAAGAGAAAGAAAAGAAAAGGAAAAGAAAAAAAGGAACAGGATGAAGAGAAGGGAAAAGAGAAAACAGTTGAGAGCTTCCAAGCAGTTGAAGAGCTGTAGCTTTTTAAAATGAAAGTCTGGACGTTATTATTCAAGATAGACTTCCCCCTCTCCAGAGTTCCCTTCCGCCATAATCAACCATCATCAACCACCACCGCCAACCGTTCCCAGCAGTTCCGCCTCATTCAGCTCTGACCTTAGAGTGTTGAGCTAACTATGATGTAATGTCACTCCTCTTGTCTCTTTGCTCAGCATCCGCCCAAACCACAGGATCGCCGAAAGCTTCTTTCTCCCACAGAACCCGTTCAGAAACTCAAAAATTCTCGAATTAATCCAATCCATACATTCCTTAGGCAGCGCTATACGGATGAACCTCTCATTCTAATTCTCTCGCGTAGTTGGGTGACGATAACAGATAGCTCATCGTCTGTCTCACAGCTTCTTCTTCTTCAATTCGCCAATTCCTCTACTTTCATCCCGTGCCAACTCTAAGGATCCAACAGCCCTGTCTCATTCATTCCCCCGCCTTACAACCCGTGCATCAACTCCAGTTTCGATGACTTCTATTTCAGATCGTGTTGATGCAAGTCCACTTGCTTGGCATCTTGGACCCAGATCACCGGGTTCGCGGACTATTTCCAGAACTTTTCCTTCTTTTCTGTGTAGTTCTTCTTCCTGCTGTTTAACTAAAATGCTGCTTCTCACATCCCAGATCTTTTGTCATTGGGCAGGTTACTAGTTACATACAATCATTGATGGATGGATCCAGGCAATCATGCCTTCATTTATACCACTCATTGTTGATGCATCTCAATTCCAATGTAGATTTATTTTAATTAATCAATAATATCATCTTTAAATTAATATTCAATCATGATAATGTTTAGTTACTGATGATGAAATGATTAAAAAAGCGCTTTTAAATTTTATTAATATAGATAAACATAACTAATTTTAAAAATTGAGTTTTTTTAATATAAAAATTATATTTCTTACTTTTATTTGTTTTTATTATATTATAAAATAATTTACATTTTAACTTTATCATAAATTATTAATTTTTAAATATATTTTTAATTAATTAATTCAAATAGATATTTATTAAAATATTAAAAAGTTAAGCTTTATATTTAAAGTCTGAGATTAAAGACATAATTAATATCTACTGTAATCTATTTAAAATAGTGTTTTTATCAATAAACAAATCTGAGATTCAGATTGAAAATATCCGAGACTCTGCTCTTATTGGCTGATGTCGGTGAACCTGAGCGTTATCGCCAGCCCTTCTGTCCAAGGGATTGATTTAGTCAGCAATGATTGAGATTCAACACAAGTCAAACTAGTTAGTTATAGCATCAACATTATTTGCAGAATCACTGGTTGCAAGGGTAAAACTATTCATTACATTTCAAAGGTCCCCTCTCCTTACCAGGGTTCTCCGCTATTCCTCAAATTAAATAAGAAAGCACAATTCAAAAGACGCATTCCCGTCGTTCCGTGCCCAAAAAACTTTCTGATTGCTCTTGGTACCGCTCTCACTAGATTCCTATTTCTCCGTGTATTGCTCTCGATTTGCTGGTTTGGGACGCGATCTCGCGTGAACGCGGTCGGTTGTATCTTGTGGTACCAACCCATTACTTCAGCTGGAATGTCTGGTGGAATCTAGTTGTCAGATTTGAGATCATTCAGCAAGCCCGCAGCCAAACGGGCAGCGTCACTAGATAGTGAATTGTACAGTGCATGGCGGCGGTCACTGATGATAGCCTCTCATCTCCATTAACCAACCAAAGGTGGGGAAGTAGCCGGGCTGCCAAATGTCAGAGATACAATACACAGCATAGCTCATTGTTCGTCCTTCCAACGAACAAAAATTATCCATTTGAGACCACCTCCTCAACCACACATAGTATGCTCTCCACGGTCTTTTCCTTTGCAATACACCACTTCCAGCTTCTACGAACTTCAGCAACGCCATTCCCTTTCTATCCACCAGCCAGAACCATCCAAATTTGCCAGGATTCATAATATTAACACCGGCTCTATTTTAAAAAAAACCCAACCTCAGCGCCATGGGTCGACCACAACTCTACTCTCCCCGCCAACCAGATAGTCCTTCGCGGCAGCTCATCCTAGAGCTAGCCAAGGACCTCGAGCAAGTTCGTCTGCACAACAACGAGCTCAAAAAGGTTCGAGCCTACGAACGGAAATCCTTCTATGAAAAGCTAGACCGTCTCGAAAAAGAGAAGGAAGAGGTACACAATGCCGCACTGACTGCTGCCGCTGCCAAGCGTGATGCGATGAGACTGGAGGCTGAGGAGATTTTGCAACTTCATTTGGAGGAGGAGCAGAAGAGGAAGGAGGAGGTGGAGAAGCTGTGGAGGGAGAAGCTGGAGAGGGAGAGTGTGGAGAAGGCAAGGCGAGAGCGGGAAGAGGCTGCGAGGTTGGAGGCTGTGAAGAGGGCGCAGGAGGAGGAGAGGAGAAGGAAGTTTGAGGAGGCGGAAAAGGCGAAGAAGGCGCAGGAGGAAGAGAATGCATTGCGGGATAAGGTTGTGCAGGAGCAAAAGAAAAAGGAGGAAGAGGAGGAGCGTCAAAGAAAGGAGCAGGGAAAGGCTGCTAAGCTCCAAGCGGTGGAGGACAAGAAGGACAAGGATAAACTGCAACAGTCAGGGCAAACTGAGATGACGGTCAAGGTCCTGGGAGCTTCGCATCGTACCCCACAGCAAATCGCGGAGCATCAACGATATCTCGAGCTCCACCAGCATCTCAAGAAGTTTAGAAAGTACATGATTGCTGAGACGAAGACGAATCCGGTCCTGAAACAGCATATGGGCGACATGCGCCGCACTATAAAGAAATG